TAAAAGGGATGGGGGCACTAGTAATACCTTTTTAAAGGCTAAAAAATGTGGTCTTGGTACCTCTTAAGGTCTTCAGCCTTAAAGGTGCACAGTGGAGGAAATAATTCGCTTGTTTTAAAATTGGTACCTCTTAGGGATGAAAAACTTTTCAAATTACGCCCACAAAACAGGATGTTGGTACCTCTTAGAGATTCTTTTCAAAATTTCCGATGAGATGAGTAACCCCATTCTTTTTATGTGGGAGTTCCACTCTCCCCTGGGGCCAATTACCCATGAGTGCTTGAGTGTCTGTTAATGAATTATCAGACTTCTTAGCTCCATCCAAAAATATATCAAATATTGGGTCCAAAATAATGTTAATGATTAATTTTTACCGGTAATAATAATTTTGCCTCCTATGGTTGTATGCTCCACAAATCCAACCTCGTTTCCAGGACTTTTTCCTTTCAAAGGAAAAGTACAGTTTCTTGCCACAGGTCTTGTTATTTCACGATCCAAATCCAATAGAAAAGCCATAGACAAGGCTGCTGAGGACCAGTTTTGTTCACCTGGCTAGTGAAGAGAGCTCTGCACGCATTGCGTGCTATTGCCTGCCAACAACAACCCCAGCCCACCCCAGCTAGGGTTCATTTTTGCGCTATATTTGCGCGGGTACTCATGGGTAGCTCGTGTTTTGCAGCTTTCTCCCTGCACTGTAGTCGAGTCTTGGGGAAAGGTGCATTTTGCTCGTAAAATGGCTAGTATTCAAGCAGAATCGTCTACTGAAGAACGATGTAACAGGTAAGATGATTGTGACGTTACCCTAGTTCGTTTATTTCAGCGTGAATTGACAGTGTACAGCGAAATCCAAAACACGTGCCATCATACAATCACTGTAACTTGAAAATTTATAGACCTGATTAAAATTAACCAAGAGTGTTATCACTGGCGATGTGTAAACCATACTCAAGACTTTTGATTCTCCTTCTTGTGTGCGTATTAAACGCGGCAAATTTAAAGAGGCGTCCGAAAGCGGTCGTATTCCAGCAAGAGAGTTTTTGTGGGACTATAATTATGTTAAGCTTACATATACTAATTATAACATTGACTGAAATTTAGGGATAAGATTATTGAATCACTTATAGGGTGTTCCATTTTACATTTACACGCTTGCTACATATCTTAGCGTTTCTTAGGCTATATTTTATTGAGAGGCATGGTTATTTGGCAACCTTGCACCAATCTTGGAAACCGGTTAATGACAATTGCAGACCGCAGAGCGTAGACTGCATTTACTCTTTAGGTATAAACGGCGCTCCGGTTAGCCTGAATATCACTCAGGTTCGCCTGAATAGCACTCAGGTTAGCTTGTTTATTTGGTTAGCTATTGATAATAGAGATGGGAATATTGTATTGATCAGTTAAAATTCTGCAGTCTGCAAATGTCATACCTCGCTTGGAAACCGAGCAGTAGTTACTCAGGGGAGGGCAATTTGTACTGGGTTTGCGAAATAGTGCAAGCCAGCGAGTCACGTACGCAACCGTTCTGAATAAGATCCACAGTCTGATTATAACCCTCTGGTTCATGAACCCTTGATAGCACTCTCCCTTAGTCTAAATAACATTCTCGGCCTAAGTAGGCTTAGTTAGTTTGTAGTTAATGTTTTAATTGGGTTAGGCCAACCTCATAAAATGTTTCATTTTCCATTGCCCCACTGACCCATCATTTTTTGAAAAGTGAAATATAAACAAAATTCCAGATTTGGACAGAAGAGTTGCCCCTTTCATATACATTGGAACCTTGTTAATACGGTCACCAGCAGGCCTCAAAAAATCTGGACATATCAAAGGGGCCCTTTTAATAAGAAAATGACTGACTGAGCTTTTCTTCGGGCCAGAATTAAGTGGCCATATTAATGGGGTGGCCGTAAGGCACGATTCCATTATACCTGTAATTGAAAAAGGTGTGCCTTTCACATACTTTTATAACTGGTCCGCATTATGAATAAATTGCCCAAACAAGTATTCTACTTGTCATTTTCATGTAGTGCCTAATAAATGAAATGATACAGCCGTAAGGTGCGTCTGTTCAAAATATTTTAATTAAAAGCCCTTTAAAATAACTAATTGACAGAATTTCCCTGCCCTTTCATATACCTAAACTTGTAAAATCCCTCCCCTTTTATATACCTGAAGCCTGAAAAAGGTACCCCTCTTGGGCGGAGCCTCCCCATGGACCATTATGTGGAGTACCCCCCCACACCCTGTCTCCAGGTTTAAGTCCATGGAAATTTTTTTTCTTGAGAAGAATGGATAGCTGTGTAGAGGCTAGGGATTTGTTGCAAATACATGCCCCAGAAACAGGGGAATTTTCTTTGTGATGTGGAATGACTGCAGAACAATAGATTCGCTGATAAAAAACAGAAGTAACAAGCAGCTCTTATGCTTTCAGATTATCATGTGTTTATTATGTAGAATCAGTTAAAGTGGCTTTTTCCTGGTTTATTCTGTTTTTTGTGGACAATTTATTTATCTTCAAGTAGAAGGAGACTTGAAAATAATGGTTAACCACTGACAATAAGAAAAACTTCAAAGTTAACAACTAACAAGGGATGGATTATTAATGGTAAACTAGACAGCAGACTACAGTTTTCAACATGTACTATCAATGGAATAGTTCCCTCCAGAACCTGAGCAGTAGATGGTGTATTTAGACTTGAATTTTGTGCAAATAGGTGCTGCTTTTATTATAATGATCATTTCTTGAATTTCTTTAGACTCGATATTAGTGATGAGCAGCTTAAGAGGCGTATGCTGATGGCTGTTCCAAAGAAAGGGAGGCTCTATGATCAGTGTATTAGACTGCTGGAAAGAGCTGGAATAAAGGTAACAATCAGAGTTGACATCCTCACCAACCTGTTAACCCATGTTCAGAGTTTTGTTAGCAGGAAGGAAACTGGTTTTCATAGGCGGGAAAAACGTTTTGAACTGAACTTCTTTAGAAGAAAAACTTTTCTCTAGGTGGTTAAACCAGGCAGGCTTAATTATTATCCTCACAATAGGTCATTTTTGCACAGTGGTAGGCCTTTATTGAAACCCCTGACTGTGTTATAGAATTTTTGGAGAGTCAGAGGTGAAAGACGATCAAACCATGTCAGATTCTTGTAATCTCTGACTAAGATATTTCAAGTTTTCGATGTTTCCAACTTGTAGACGGACATTTAATACAAGTGGAGACTGAAGACTTTCTGCAGTCTGAATTTCCAGTAATCATTACTTATTTATCTTTGGAACTATTAAATGACATTTTGTGGAGTTATAGGCCACAGTCTTACATCCTTAAGTTTGTAATTCCAAAGGGGCAGTGCATGAGTATCACTATGCCATCAGCCTTAAATGTCATTTACGCTGTATTTCAAGAAGGTTGTCAATGTTATTGAAACTTTTTTGATCTTTCTCTTTCAGTATCACAAGAAAACACGCTTGGATTTGGCTTTGTGTACCTCCCTCAACAGTAGGTCTTTACCTCTCATTCTAAATGCATGTACACAGTGGAATCGGGATTTCTTGAATCCTCATTTTTTTTAAATGAGGGTTAGAACCTTCGATAACTCGAACCAAAAGTCATTCCCTCTCTCCTCAGTCAAACACTGTAATTCCACCCCCCCNTGAGGTTTGAAAAATCAGGATTCCACTGTATATCACATATACTTGTATGCAAACCCTGAAAATGTTTAAATGATAGATAGATAGATTTAGGTTGTCCTAAAACATTAGTGTGATTGGGATTTACCTACAAGTGATATTTGGAAATTCTTTACAAATTGCATGAACCTTTAGGAGAGTGCAATTTATAAGAATTGTTAAATAAATTACAAGCAGTATTATTACATGTGGTTTTACATGACAACTGATTTGTTATGTGTGACCAAAAAAAATTACAAATCACCAGGCAGCCCTGTATAAATTGGTGCTGTAGTGCAAACTAAAAGTTAGCAATAAATTTGCCCCCTCTCAGCCAGTCACATTAAAGAAATTTCCTTAAAATAGTCATAATAATTTATTATTATAATGAACATGGCAACATATTAAAATAGCTGTGTACACTGAAATGACTTTTTGATTATCCAGACTGTTTACACTGGAGCTACAGCAAGTTCAGGCTGTCAAGATATGATTGTTCTGATTTTTTTATCATGACTGTATTTTATTTTTTCAGTGGCTCTTGTCTTTCTCCCAGCTGCAGACATCGCTCTTTATGTCAGTCAAGGAAGGTCAGGAAACAAATTAAATTTTACACATACAATGTACATGTGGGGGGTATATATGTATCTTATTAGATGTTTTGGTGTGTAGTGTTGCTGTATATTTGTACTAGTTGTGCCATATTTTGACAAGTCTGTAGGGCAAGTTAAAAAAAAAAAAAGAGGAGTTAAAATATACACTCAGCACTATTACACACCAAAACATCTTGTAAGAGATTTACAGTGTATTATCCAACTGCTGTAGTCAATAAATTTGTCAGCACAAGAGGGAGAGTGTGATAGTTTTGCTTGAAGCTTGCCATCTGTCAAGCAGGTTTTTTAATGGTGTACAAATAACTAACTATACAATAACACTGTCTATTTGTACTTGTTTCTCACATTATTTGGATGATATTTGCTGTACATAGTTGATGGTTTAATGGTTAAATTGCTATGTGGACTTTAAATCAAGAGATCTGGTTTAGATACTGACTGGAATGATGCTTTGTGTTGTGAATATTACTCTTGCATTCCCTTTCTCTGCTCAGTAAAGTATAAATGGGTTCCAGGCAGAACTGTCATGTTCCTGCATACTGTGATAGCCTAAAACTCTTTAAATCCACAGAGACTGGCGTCAGTATTGTGAGTTAATTTTCTCCTTTTCAAAGGTGGTGGCTTTAGACAATATTTTGATGTGCTTGTAGTATGTACATGTACTGTCTGATTATAGCAACACTGTTTTATCAGAATTGACTTGGGGATCACAGGACAGGATGTTGTGGCAGAAAGTGGAGGAGAAGGTAAATTATGTACCATAACCATTTGCAGTGAAATTATTTTAATTTGCAGTACCTGCATCTTCTTTAGAATTATAGGCACAGCCACCTTTATGGGGACTAGCCCCACAGGGCTTTCATTAAGTTTTGATCCACCTGTAGCCTTAATCTTCACAGCTGTAACAAACATATGATCTTTTGAGTGAATTGTATCAACTGAAGGGAATTTCACCTGCAGCATTAAGGGCCCGTCAATTCAAACATGCTCAGCTGACTAGCAGGTGTTATGCATTACGGCCATCAATAACAGCCCTGCCCTACACACTGAAAGTGCAAAAAGTTCTTCTTAGTTTATCTTAAATGAGTCTGTTTTAGTATCTTGTTGTAGATGTATGGGCATGTTGGTGGTGTTAATATCAATTGAGATTCATCTGTATTTGTTAAAAGCTATCTCCTTCATTTTTGGCCAGTTGAAAATTTTAAATGTTAAAGTTGTACCTTCTAGTTTGGATAACAGTACAACTGTAAACAAAATTAGTGGACAAAAAAGATATAGATCTATTCTTTAAGCACAAAACACTCAGTTGCCAAAACATTTAATTCAGTGCAAAAGCATATAATATCTGGTCTGACCATATCTTATTCTTCTCCATTTCTTTCTTCTCTTCACTAATTGTTTCAAATTGTTGTATGTGAACAGAAGGTGGAGGAATATTAACATTTTGTTTACTTTTGTGTCAAAGTTTATCATTGGATGGATTTGAATGGCATTTTTCATTATTAATGCACTTTACTCTGACTCTTATTTCAGTTCATGAACTTTTGAAGCTTGGTTTTGGCAAGTGTAAACTTGCAGTGCAGGTGAGTGAGTTGTTAATTATTAACAAATTCACCTTACTGGTCAAAATATATTTCTTATAGCACTAGCTGAGAGAATTTTTTAACTATTAACCACAGATAAATTCTCTTTGCAGATGATATGATCACTTCCATAATTCTCATGACCTCTTCCTGTTTATATATTTAATAATCCAAGGAAAAAGTACGTCAATGTTGACCATGTTTAGGGATTAGATCTAACCTTCCTATCCTTTACCTTGTCCGTTTGTGGTCAGTTTCCAAAGCCATTTCTCCCTTGGAGCCTTGTTTACTCTGCAAGAGGCAATTCCACCTGTTTCTTGTTCCTTCTCCTCATCCTCAACCTCAGCCATATGTTGCAGCAGTGTTCAACAAATTTAAAATCGACTGTTATCAGAAGTTATTGATGGGTGTTTTTGTTTAATGCATCTGGTAATTTTAATCAACACTGTTTTAATAAACAGGCAACCACTACGTCAAGCATTACAAGTGCAGAGGAACTTGTTGGTATGAACATCCATTATTCACTTGGAAACAATTTGTTATTAATAGGACTTAAGTTAAACTAGTGCTTGTTTAGGATTCACACAATGAACACCCCATTTTGAGAAGCTCACATGTATTTACTTGATTGACAGTTTACACGTATAGGAACCAGAAACTACTGAAAGTACCGGAAGTATGTTTATCTTGTAACAGTGTTGAGCTGAAAATAATAATTATCTGTTTTCAGTAACATTTTTCATTGAGATTGTAAACAGTCTCCTTCTTGCAAAGATCTTTAATACATGCTGTGAATTATAATGTTTAAATACAGATAATAATTTTAATTAATTTTTAATGTAAATTTTATTTTTAATAACATTTTTTACTGTAAAGCGCCATGAGCCATGGATATGGCGCTATACAAATCTATTATTATTATTATTATTATTATTATATAATTAATAATAATAATTGGACTGAGTGGAGTTCTATTCGGGGAGCAAACACACCATTAATTTCAAAATCAGACGAGTGTCAAGTGCAGGGCCGATTTGAAATTATGAACACCATATTACTCCCTGGATTGTATGACATGAGGTCCAATTACTAATTAATTGCATCTACAGTGGAACCCCGCCTAACGACCACCCCATTAATATGATCACCTTGTTATTACGGCCACTTTATTCTGACCAGAAAAAAAGCTCAGTCAGTCATTTTCCTATTTAAGTTAATATGACCAATTTTCCTTGGCCCGAAGGTGGTCGTATTGATAGGGTTCCATCTTTTGGGAACTTCTTTTGAGCGAAAAAGTTTTTAGCGCTTTTCATAAGTTTAAAAAAATGCATGAAACATCGAGAAGGAAGCCATTAAAGCTTGTGTAATTGACATGCGAATCACATGTGTATCTAATTCAAGGTTGTAGCTATTAGGAAAAAGTCTCCCGGCTAAGATTTTCATTGAACTGGTCATCACTTTTTGCGAAAGACCTGGAACAAAGTTTTTGTCCCCAATCTTTCTTAACGCCTTGAATGCAGAGCTACCAAGCTTTGCATTTCCTAAATGGTGGATGCAGTACACTGAAAGAGAACAGCTAAACAAGTGCTCAGAAAGAGATTTTATTTCAATTACTTTACTTGTCATTAAGTGGCACCGATACCCAAGGTAGTCAGGAAATTATTCCAAACTTTTCATTTAGTTATCGGATGATATGTAGATATCTAATGATTGTATATGCATAACCTAAAAAACATTTATTGTCCTTTACCAAGTGATCGTCTGCCAAAATCCATCCAGCATTCACCTCTTTCTCAGCTGGCAAATGTTGCTGGCAGCCAGTGCTTAGCGATAACAATACCAATTACAAAAAGTTCAAATTGGATATCTGTAATTGGACACCCATGTGATCATGTGCTAATTCATGATCAAGAATTTTGTTATAGATATGATTAATAAGATCATATTAAGTTAATGATATTCTTTACTTTAATAATCTCTCGTAGGAAAAAGGATAGTCACATCATTTCCAAATGTAGCAAGGAAGTACTTTGCTGTAAGTTTATTTGAAGAAATGCAAACACTGATTTTTAACATAACGTTAATTGTAAATTTACTAATAATGCAATGGAAATTATGGATCCATTAAAAAGACTCAATTCAGGTCACATGAATGTGCTGTAAATCCCAATATAAATCCAGAACATGTAATCTGTAATTTTAAAGGGGAAGATCACTCCAAAACTCTTGATATATTTTTTGTCAATGCTAATAAAAACCTTGCAAAGCAAAAGCTGAATGTTTACTTGCTATGGGTGAAGACAAAAAAAGTAATCTTCTTGGAGTGACCTTCTCCTTTAATACAGAATAAGTATCCCTTAATGCTGAAACAGAATGAGTCTAATATTGATTACTTCATTCTTGACTATTGTTTTCAAGCTTAAAAGGCAATGAAAATTACATTAAATTTCATATTATTTTATAAATTTGTTCTTATCCACAGCAATTTGATCCTGACAACAAAACAAGAATAAATTATGTCAGTGGATCTGTTGAGGTAAAGATTTGACATCAATCCAACATCAGTTACTGTAGCTATAAAAATGCAATCTTTCTGTATTTTTGCCTTCCAGTTAGTGGCTATTTAATTGCTAGTTATCATTCTCTAAGAACACTGTGTTACAGATTACTTTCATTTGAACCTGGCTAATTTTTTCACCACACAAAATCTATGGAACTGTATTATCATCATATAATAGCCAAACTCTTGCATGTAAACAAAAACAAAGGTTTGGCTGACTAGGATCCTTTAAGGGCCAGGCACCTGGCAAATTGACCAGCTGTGAGGATGATTTTGCTTGCCTGGTTTGACCATTTAGAGGAAAGTTTTTCTTATAAAGAAGTTCAGTTCAAATATTTTTACCCTCCTATGAAAACCAGTTGTCCTCCTGCTCAAAATGTTAACAAAACCCCTGCTGAACACAGGCGGCCCAAGCTCACAATGCGAGGAGTTTTTTTTTTTTAATCTTTATGCGAACGTTCAGCGCGCGAAACGTGACACGGTTACCGCCGACATCTACCATTACATAACGACCGAGTTTGGTTACGCGAAACGTGACCTTCGCCTTGCAGTATGTGGTGGTGTTGTGTTACAACGGTTTGAATTTATAAAGGTTTGTATGGGGAAAAACGGTAATCGACATTATAGCTGAAATTTTGGTATTTTTGCAATAAAAATGACTCACCTCAATGTCTTGTTGTCTTTTCTATTGTCATCTCGCTTCTCAGCTCGATCCGAAGCCTTTTAAGCAAGTTGTCGCTTT